ACACACACACACACACACACACACACACACACACACACACACACACATTCAAGCAACCAGGTAAACAATCAAAACATGCACCAACAAAAATACCCTCCACCTACTCCAAACATTAACCAGGAAAAAGCACAAGCTGCAGTGCTGCATAACATCCAAGCCTCCGCAGACTAGAAGGTGTCGGGGTGAGTTAATATTTGGCTGGGCAACTCTGGGAACTCAGAGCTTGGTCACTCAGCTGAGACCTCCCCTTTCAGAAAGCCCCTCACATTCCCTGACACTGTGTAAGTGTGTGTGTTTTGAAGTGCTGGACTCGGCCCTCACTGTGACCTTTGAATCAAGGTGATGTCTCTTTGAATTCCAGAAGCATGCCTTGGCCCCAGCAGGAAACCAGTACTGTGGCTAAGTTTGTCACTTTCCCTCAACAAACAGAAGGTCACCGTTTTGACAGCGTAAACGAAAGCAGGCAAAGAAACCAAAAATGCCTGCGTGTCCCACCAGAGGCCTCGATAAGCCTAATGTGCAATGTGAGCTAATGAAACAGTATGCACTCGAGGCTGCTTCTCCTCAGACTGGGAACATGTTGCAGAATGAGAGAATGTAGCTAACAGCACAGCAGTCTGTCAGTGCTCTCAGAACTAAACAAACCCAATAAAGCTCCCTCCCTTTTTCTCTCCCCCTCCCTCCCACACACGCGCAAAAACACACACAGCCTCAAAGTAGCCTGAATCACAATGACTGGAGCAACAGATGGCTGTCAACTCACCCCCTCCACCTTCCCAACTCCCTGCACAACATCCTCTGGCCCAGCTGTCACTTTTGGGCCCCTGGCTGAGGGGGGCTCTGACGCCAACCTCCCCTGAACTGGGGACAGCTGCTGCAGGAAAGCCAGGGGAGGGGGGGCAAAAGCTTTGCAGCACACTACAAACTTCTCCCTGTCTCCACAGGTCCTCTTCCTGCTATCTCTTCCTCATCCCTACCATCAGGCTTATCCAGTTTAACTCGTACAACCTCCTTCTCTTTCTCTCTTTACTCACCATCGCTCATCCTCCACCTGAATTCCTATCGATTGGAATTTAGACTGCTCCTCCGTCGGCTCTTCTTCCTCTGGGTCCACCTAAGAGGAGGGGAGAAACTGTCAAACTGCAAGAGAGAGTTTTTCTTTAGAACTTAAACAGGCTCGTCCTCAAACCTGGATCCCTATGGAGAGGCACTTGCGGAGCACTTCCCTCTGTGCCTTGCTGTCTGTGGAGACGTGCGCGACAGCAGAGGTGGTGGCGGTGGCAGTGATGGTGATTGTGCTGTTGGTCACGTGCTGGCTGGCTGGGCCGTGCACCTGAGCGTTAGCCGCCTCTATGGCTGCTGTCAGGGCCTTCATGCTGTCGATGCTCTCCGTGGAGTTGGACAGGCCCGGCTGGGAGCTGATGCCAGTCCGCGTGCCGGAGCCCCCGTCCATGTAGGCGTCCTGAGCGGACTCGGTGCTGCTCTGTGCTGTGATGGATATGAAGGGTTTGGACGGGGTGGTCCGCGGTGGGACCGGGGGAGGCGTCTTCTTGTAGGTGGTGATGCATGATGACACTGCAGGGAGGAGACAGAGAAAGACAAAAAGTATGAATAAAAAAAGTATACATCTCAAAAATCTGTTAAATAAAAGATACGTTTAAACTGCAGATATTTTACACAGGAAGTTCAGTTCACTCATCAAGGGGTGAACTGATAAGAGGAAGAGGAGAATGGAGCCAGTGTATATTTCCTTCTGTGGCTCTCTCTGGAGGAAGCGTCTAAATTCTGAAAACAATAACCCAAATGATGTCATTGTGACATCATCAGAGTTATCTCTGATTGGACTTGAAACTTAACATTTCTAACTGAAAACCTGCATTACAAACTGGGGATGTGGAGCAAGAAAGAGGCATTTAGGAGGCAGGGTTGAGTCACGTTATAAGAAATTTAGGATAAAGTGTTTTTAAAATTAGACCCATTCTAGAGACTAAAAGTCAGGATATCTTACCTGCTGCAATTTCAACCATTCCTTTTGTTTTTAAATTTGTCTCTTTTGACTTCCCCAACTTTTTGGAAGTGCAATTAGTAAATCATTGAAATACACCTTTAATGATCCATATTGGTGATTTGGATAAAAGCAAATAATGACAAAGAAAATCCTAATCTAAATACGTAATGAGTGAAAGATTTCTATATGAAGGATATTTAACATAATAACCAGCAACTACATGGCAGAAATTTATGAGTAGAAATTGGTAAATGAAAGTATCAAAATACAGCATCCATGTTACAACATATTGTAATTACAGAACTTATTAAATATAGATGAATCACTGCCCGAGAGGAAAAAGACCTTTACAGTTTACCACAAGGCCTTAGGTCCCTGTGTTGGAGTCAAAATGGACAGTAGATTAGTGGCAACTTTAACAAATCAGAGCCTCATCAAGTAATAGGATTACTATGTCAGCCACTTGACCCACTGATCTAGATGGTTAAGCCCTCTATACGCAGTTACTGTCCACATCCAGAACAATCTGATGGTGCAGAAAATAGCCCTGCGTGCTTGTTTACCCTGCTATTGTTTGTACACATAATTGCACAGAAGTTGAATTTAATTTCTGATAAATCACAGGAGCTAAATTATATTGTAGAAGACAGCTAGAGAGCTTAGTGCACTCCAAAGGCTTTACATTATATCCAAGCAAATAGATATTAAAAAGCATCATAGTGCTGCTCAGTTACACTCTTCCTCTCAGGTTACAGCTAAAGGTTCTGCACAGACAATGGAGCCTCTCACACGCTGACTCAGGAGCCTGGGTATAGAAACATGGCAGCAGACAAAAAAACACAGCCAGTCTAAAGAAAGATAAAAACAGCCACCTCCTAACTACATTATGCCTTGGAATCTCCTTCCTGGCTGGGTGTTATCATCAAAACTAGGTCTCCCTCTCCCTCTCCCTCTCTCTCCCCCTCTCTCTCTCTGCAGCGAAACTAGGACACCGGGTTTCCTGGATCCCTTTTTAATCCCTACAAAAGACAAACATCCTACCATGGAGAGATCGTTGCTCTGTGTGCGGCAGACAATTGTTGCCAACCACACCCAGCACGAGCAGCCATGTCTTAAACTATTAGAGCGGGATGTTGTTTGCTTTGCGCCTTGCCATCTCACTGACAGCTACAGAGGGGCCCTAACATATTGGAGGTGGACAGAGGGCTGACTTCATCCTCTTGGTTTGTCAGAGTCATCCGCCGCTCTGCACCCACCCTCCCCCTGCTGCCTCGCCAGCAGTGATTGGATGATCCCAGACGAGATTTCTGTCAGGTTTTGACAAGCTGGAAAGTCCTCAGACAGGATGAATGCCGCGTTGAGATGAGATCAGGGTTGCTTAAATGAGTGCCTTTGATGGTGGGGTAGCAAACCACAAGAAAGACAAAAGGAGATGACTTACTGTATTTCCTTCTACAGCTAAACGGCATGCGTTTTGGGAGATGCTGTATATGCAGGAATGAATGCCACAGACATACTTAGGCGGGATCATCTGAGCATGTCGCGATATGCAGCACTATCTCATCTTTTCACAGATGCCAAGGGAATATGATCGACATCCAGGGCTAAGCTTCAGAAAGGTCACAGAGTACAGACCCACAAGAGAACACAGTGAACACACACATGCACTCACACAGAGGGAGACGGGGCGAGGTCCTGCCCCTATCAGGCGTGGAGGTTCAAAGGATAGAATGTCAGCCCCTTTCAGAGCTTCTATCCCCTGAAGTCATCTAAAAGTCACACTTGTGTGTGTGCGTATTTGCGTGCGCTCCTATCAGGTCCAGAGAAGGGTTAAAGAACAGAGGGTTTTCATCGGCTCAATAAAGCGCCGTATGAAACAGGAGATGACGCGCCAAGTCCCACCTAGCTGTCACTGCGAGAGCCAAACACGCCGAGAATGACGGGGGGCTTTGAATGCCAAGACAGGTTAAGTAAACAAACTCGGGAGTCGGAACATGCCCACACACACAAGTGTATACGCACACTGGCCTACAGACATGCACACATAGGCACAAAGGCACACAAATAACATTGACACAACCCAGCTTAACGTTTCAACCTCTCCACATCAAGGGAGACCACAGGTTTCCTGCCACTGATATGCTCTCCATTCATCAGGAGCTGTTGTCAACAGTGACTTGGCCCGTGCCTGTGACTTGGATGTAAGTGTGTGTAAAGATGTGTCATCAAACATTTAGCAAAATTAATGGATTTTAGTTCCTTTGTTCGAAAAACTTAAAAGAAACAAAGCGAGTTTAATTCCTGCCTGTCTGTCAATAGTGAGGGGAAAGCTGACCAAAACAACTGTCCTGATAAAACAGGAGCCAAGTTTCCAGTTGCCACAGAAATGATAAGAAAATAGTTTGATCCTCTTGCAGCCATGAACGCATTAGACAGCTACACAGCCAGGACCTCCCACGCACACAGACAGTCAAGGACAAAGTGAAGTAGAAATGTGACGCAGGATTGCACCAGACCCTCAAGAAGGAATGTGGAAAACTCTCTACGGCAACTGCAAATACACACTGTCGAGCACACAAAAAAAGTTTTTCTGTCAATCCATAATATCAGGTTAGTGGAGCTTTGATCACAGAAAAAGAAAGACATCATTCATGCATCTTGTGAAATGAGAACAACTTCCTCACTCAATGGAATTGTGGAATTTCATCCGTTCCCTCACAGAGGTATAGCTGCAGCCTGCTGCGAGCATTGTCATCCCAAAGAGAAGAGTTTGTGAATGACAAAACTCTAGTGGCTCTCTGCCAAATCCTTCTTTTGACAAATACTTCAAAAGTCCCATGCCGACAAGTCGGTGTGAATAGCAGTTCTTCTTGGCAGAGCACTCCCCCCACCTCTGAGCTTCATAATATCAAAGAATGCCTCTTCCCTCCCCTGAGACAAAGCAAAGGCTTCATTCATTTTGCTTGCCTTCAGAACAAAAGCAGATCTGCTAGCCCACCTCCTTTTGGCTCTGCTGATCACTGTGTCCCCATTTGTGTGTCCGCATAGGTGTTTCCTTTATTTAATCACCGTCTTCATGATACCGGACAGATCGAAGGCAGGCAGCTGCCTTGTAATCTCCAATCTGTATATCTGTGTGATAGGCCACTTCAAAGTGCAGACGGTTTGGTTTTAGGAGGTTAGCAAACAGGAATGGGCTCCCCCGCGCGGGGGCCAAGAGCAAATCCACCAGCATCCAAACAAATACAAAGGCCCGGAAAGGGGGCGGTCAGTATGGGGGAACATTGACAGCTGAGCCCAGCTGCACTGTGTTTGGGATGAGGGTCTGCCAGAGGGGAGATGGCAGAGAGTAGCGAACAGCGAAGAGGAGCCGAACAAGACCGAGGAGGAGGAGGAGGAGGAACGAGGGTAAATCAGAGAGTTGCTGCCTGGCTCCGTCTGTTCGCTCTCTGTCCATGTGTCCGTCTCCCTTTCTATCTATCTCTCTGTCGCACACGCATAGAAAACCAGCTGGAGTCCTTTGTGAAGGCGTCACCATGGCGACACACAGCAACATGAAGTTTGCCGGGAGGCTTGGCATTTTACCAGCAGCGAGAGGAGGGGAGCTTCTGTTGGCCATTTGTTTACCTTGACGGGGTACACTACACCGCAGCTGCACTGACACCCACCTAAGCACCGGCCAACGAGAAAGACACAGCAGGAGTAATGGGTCGCAGCGAGCGTAAAATTAAAAATCAAATAAACACCAGGAGAACGGCATAGAGAGGATCACTGGGTGCCACTGTGTTGCAAATGAATATCCAATAATGTTTCTGGACCGGAAGCAGCAGCTTTGTGCAGCTGAGTACTTAATTCCACCGACCAGTTTGTCTTGGATTGTTTTCAAAAAAGAAAAAAAGCTTGTCACTGGAGTTCCAGGGCAGTGTCATGAGACTACAATAAACTGAAAGGTTCACACAGGTTGACATTCCACTGCTGTTGTGAACAACAATGCAGAAACACAAGGCACACTCTAAATGACTCAACATGGCCTCCGGTAGGCTCCTATGAGTAACTGTAAAAAACACAGAAAAAGCCTTGAGTTTCAAAGTGTTGCGTTAACTAACCTAAGATAGCAGGTTTGTTGCTCATCACTGCTGAACAACTAACACTGCAGAGACACAACAAAGCCTGTACACAGCGTATACAATGGTCCTTAAAAGGTCCGCTGACAGCCTTTTGAGTCACCTGAAAGTCTCCCAGAAACCCGCATGTCAGTCCACGCCTCTCAGCCACCAGAGGTCAGAGGTCACCGGAGAGGGTTTCTGCTCTCCAGATGCCTGAACTCTCTCAGACACAATAGCTCACTGTGTGCGCCTGTGTGTTTGTGTGTGTGTGTGCCTGAGGGGAAGGTGGCAGTCTACGAGTGCCTTTTAAAGAAGTATATTTAGCATGTGTGAGTGGCTGTTGGGGAGGGAATTCTCAGTGCAAATGGTACCAGTGTTGTAAACATCCTGCACTACTGCAGCTTTTAAATAGTTGTTTGTTTCTTTCTTGAGTTAAACATAAGCATGCATCGCCTATCAGC